CAGGTATTTCTTCCAGTTTCCACCAAATTCTAGAATATAAGCACGAAGCATATCCTCCAGAATCTGAATAACTCTTTTAGATTGTCCATCAGTCTGGGGATGAAATGCAGTGCTAAAATTCAGATATGTTCCCATGGCTTCCTGGAAACTCCTCCAATACTGTGCATTGAAGCGGGTATCACGATCAGATGTGATAGACAGTGGCACCCCATGTAACCTCACGATGTGCTCTAGGTACAATTCTGACAGAATCTTCTAAGAATATGTTGCACGAAACGGTATGAAGTGCGCAGACTTCGTCAACCTGTCAACCACCACCCAGATGGCATCGTGCTTCAGCTCGGTTCTCGGTAGCCCCATCAAAAAATCCATGGTGATGTGCTCCCATTTCCATCCAGGGATAGGAAGAGGTTGCAACTCTCCCGCTGGCTTCTGGTGCTCAGCTTTAATCCGGAGGCAAGTCACACATTCCGAGACATACTCACGGACGTCTCTTTTCATGCCTCTCCACCAGTACTGTCTTTTCAGGTCCTGGTACATCTTTGTACTCCCCGGATGAATAGCATACGTTGATTTGTGTGCCTCTTGCAGAATCTTCTTCTTTACCTCACCCACCTTAGGAACAGCAAGGCGGTTGCAGAAATACAAGGCTCCATCCTCCCAGATTCTCCAATCCTCGAATTGTTCTCCATTCTGGATCCGAATCCAAATCCCTTGGAGGTGGGGATCCTGCCATTGATTCTGCTTAACTTGTTGCACAATGTCTGGTGTAGAGACCAGATTATACAGCATAGCCTGGTTATAATCTTCGTAGAACTGAAGATCATACTCACTCACCACTTCAGTCCTTCTCCAATCTTCCAAAGCTAATGATGCCAGAGTCCCCATCGGCTTCCTGCTAAGGGCATCAGCCACCCCATTAGCTTTTCCAGGATGATACTGGAAAGTGAAGTCGTAGTCTTCCATGTACTCCACCCATATCCTTTGCCTGAGATTCAAGTCTTTCTGAGTAAACAAGTACTTCAGACTTTTATGGTCAGAGAAGACCTGAAACTTTGCTCCATAGAGATAACACCTCCATATCTTCAGAGCAAATATTACCGTTGCCAGCTCCAAATCATGAGTGGGGTAATTCTGTTCATGTGGCTTTAGTTGTCGGGATGCGTAAGCCACAACG